AAAGATTTTATTTATTTATTTGAGAGAGAGAATGAGAGAGAGCATGAGAGGGAAGAGGGTCAGAGGGAGAAGCAGACTCCCCGCTGAGCAGGGAGCCCAATGCGGGACTCGATCCAGGGACTCCAGGATCATGACCTGAGCTGAAGGCAGTCGCTTAACCAACTGAGCCACCCAGGCGCCCAAAACAAAACAATTTTTAAAGGAAAGGAGAGCAATGGGGTAGGAAAACAGCAGGGAGAAGAGTGAGACACATCCTTTTTCCATCTGTAAGCTTCACTTTGTTTTATTCCCACCCCACATCCCCCCAACAGCTGATACCCCCCTAGTCACAGTGCCCCATAGCTTCGTTTTGAATTGTGCTAAAGACAACAAAGTACCAGGGTCAACGGGCCTCTGATGCCCCCCTGCAGGTCCTCAAGGCAACTTGCTCTCCCTTTTTTAAAATATGACTTAACAGATTATAATTAACCTGTATATATAAACCCGGGTCCAACAAGATAGAGCAAATACAGGTTTCAACAGTGTATGTTTCTGGGAATGACATCAAGATTATGCTCTGGGGGCACCTGTGTGGCTCAATTGGATAAGCATCCGACTCTTGATTTTGGCTCAGGTCATGATCTCAGGGTCCTGCTCAGGGGGTAGTCAGCTTGGGATTCTCTCTCTCCTTCTGCCTCTGTGACATCCCCCACCCCTGCTCGCTCTCACTCTCAAAATAAAAAAAATAAATCTTAAAAAAAAAAATTATGCTCTGGCATTGCTCATATTAATGAAATGAGAGATTTCACCAATATTTATAGAAGACTGGCTATGATTTAGTTAAAATGCATGTAATTTGTCAGGAACAATGGGTTTGAATTCCTGCTCTATAACTTACTAATTTCGTGAACCTGGGAAAGTTAACTGATCTCCTGGAGCTGTCTTCTCACCTTTAAAATGGACATATCAAGACAGACACCACAGGGTTGCTGTGAGAATTAAATGCGGTATTATGGGTATAAAGTGCCTCATTCAGTATCCAGTACCTGAGAGCTCCTCAACAAGTGGTGGCTCTCACCACCTCATTCCAAAGAGGAAAATATATTAAGAGTTCTGTATCTCTTATGATACCAGAAACCAAGGAAATGTAAGTAACAGCCATGTTCTTTTGGAAACCAAAAAGGTTAAAAACAATGTATCACTGTGTAAGGCTCAGCTTTGACGTTTTCCTAAACCCTTAATAAGACAGTGGTCCTTAAAGGGACAAACTATTAGGTATTGTGATGGACACAACTTATTAGCTTATTGAGGAAAATTAGCCACAAGTGTACGGGGAAATAAAGACGTATACAATCTTTCTAATTATTCAAAGGATGTTCATAAATAGCCAAAAATTTTACCTCCTGACTACAAATTCGGAAGATTTAGGCCAAAAGTCAATGGAAGATACAGATAACTGCCTAAAAACACCTGTTGTAGGCAGAACAGAAGGCCCCCAAAGACGTCCACAGTGTAGTGCCCAGAATCTATGAATGTTGCCTCATGTTTTGCCGGATGTAATTACATTAAGGAACTTGAAATGAGATTATGCTGGATTGCCTGGATGGCCCACTGTACTCACAAGGGCCCTTAAATGTGAAGAGGGAGGCAGAAGAATCAAAGGAGATCTGGGATAGTAGCAGGGGCTGGAGTTACACCCTTGCCGGCTGGGGGCCCAGCACCAAGGAGTGAGGGCGCCCTCTAGAGGCTGAAAGGCAAAGAACCCGACCCGCCCCTAAGTCCTCCAGCCCTGCTGACACCTCAGATTTTAGCCCATGAGACCCAGGTTGAGCTTCTGACCTCCCCAACTATCTTTGCGTTGTTTTAAGCCACCAAGTCTGTGGCAATTTTTCAGAAGCAATAGGAAACTAATACACACTATCTTGGCTGTTTCGGGTTAATGTGCAGTTTTGGTGAGAACATACTGAACAAAATTGTTAACAAATTCTGTGATGTTCCGTCTGTGTGTTCTCAGTGTACCATAAGGTAATTTCAAAAGAAATGAAAGGGAAAAAAATGTAATAGATAAATGGAAGGCAGAGTTACTATAGCCTACTTGGAAGTACTAAAACCACAAACTTTATGGAACGTATAGCTGCAAACAGTTCCACACAAAGACACAAAGAGGGGTAATAAAAAACTACAAGAAGTCCTAATGTATTTCTCTATGAGCTGGGAAGATGGTCAGTGGATTATTAACTGTGCTTAAAGCCCACCTATCCCCTTACAGAATATCAGCCTAAAAAGCCACATTTACAGTTTCTCGAGCGAAAGAAAGACGAAAAAAGGCATACATTTGACAAAGAATGTCTCATAAGCAAACAGATCTATAATGTTGGTGTCACTTCTCAGTATCTACCAAAATTTTTATGTAGGATTAGCTGAAGTATATATAAGTTACAGTACATTTTTCTCTGAAATAGGCCAGATGGTCAGAAAGCTATAGACCTATTGCCTCCCCTGCGGAGTCTCTCCACTCCCCTTGAAGTGCTTTCCTTGGACTTCAGTACCACCAGCTTATGTTGAGGGACATTACACGGTAGAGCTATATGAGGCTTCTTGCTGTCTTTGTGTCATTGAGCGTGTTACTCGTTGCATTATATAGAATTCCCTCGGTGAGAACCCCTGTATACATTCATGCCTCAAGGTCTCAGTACCAGAAACAGGTAAGCTATTTCTAAGCAGAGGGTGGTTCTTTTTACCTCTTATGGAAATATAACATTTATGACATTATACATTTGTCAAAAACCAAATACAACATAAAGAGCAAACCCTAATATAAATGATGGACTTTAGTTACGGCATCACTACTGGTTCCTCGCCTGTAACAAAGACAAGCTGTTAATAATAGGGGAAACTGGGGGAGAAAGGGTACAGGAGAACTCTCTGTACTTCCTGTTTAACTTCTCTGTGAAGCTAAGATTGCTCTAAAATATAAAGTCTATCTAAAATATCTATACAACAGGGAGCCTGGGTGGCTTAGTCGTTAAGCGTCTGCCTTCGGCTCAGGTCATGATCCCAGGGTCCTGGGATCCAACTCCGCATTGGGCTCCTTGCTCATCCGGGAGCCGGCTTCTCCCTCTCCCTCTGCCGCCCCCCTACTTGTGCTCTCTCGCTCAAGCGTGTTCTCTCTCTCTCAAATAAATAAATAAAATCTTTAAAAATAAATAAATAAAATAAAAATAAACTATCTATACAGCAAAGTGCACACATCTGCAGAGCAGGGGATTCAGCAGGGGTGGTAGCAGCAGTTTTTCAATCTCTGAATCCTCACCTGAAACCAGACAGACAGGGGCGCCTGGGGGGTGCAGTCAGTGAATCGTCAGCTTTTGATCTCAGCTCAAGTCTTGATCTCAGGGTCGTGAGTTCAAGCCTCGCATTGGGCTCCACTTTAAAAAAAAAAAAAAAATCAGACAAGCAAGTGGATAGCAAAACCAAAACCTCATGGACATTCACCGTGTGGGGAGGAACTTCTGGCCCTTTCCAGGTCCCTCTGGCTGGACTAAGGATCAAATTGACATGAGACAGGTTAACAGGAGAAAATCAAATTTAAGTTCATATCTATGGGGAATCCACACAGACATGGAAATTCCAAAGACAGTCAGGCAGAATGTGGTATATAGTAGTCCTGAGCTAAGGAGCAGGGAGTAGGTCCTGGGACTTCAAAGGGAAGGAATGCAATTCACAGGAAGCTGAAAAAGAGTACATGTTTGGTAAACACACATGTGCTGGGCCACTCAGAAACAATGGGACACAGAGGACTTTGACCAAACAGGCCTTGCTAGGTTCTTCCCTGCCTACCAGACCTAGTTCATGGTAAATGTAGTTATCCATGGTGATAGCTCTTTTCTGGAGCAGGTTCTCTATCTCAGTTCTTCTCAGGTAGATGTGGGGGAGGTGGAGAGCTTTTCCTGAATCTGCTGGGGTTTGATTGCTTTTTAACTTAAAATAATCTTCATGCCAAAGTGACCCGTTTTGGGGTGGCCTGCCCTTGGACCCTCTAACGTAAAAGTAGATGGCAGAATATCCCCATGAACCCCAAAATAAAAGCAAGTAGAGATAAATCTACAGTCACAAAACCCACACAGTATCAGCATCAGTATGGGAAGAAGAAGGAAGAAATGGAGGCAGTGTCTAATGGACCCAAGAACAGGAAAACTTCAAAACAGCAACAGACCCAGAAGGCCCAGCTGAAACTGGGAGAGATTCTGCTCTCTCAGTACTAGGTGAGTGCAAGGAGCCCTCAGTAAAGACCAAGGAGGCTGAGCAGTCTGGCCCCTATGAACCATCAGTACCCATCTCCCAGGGTGTCCTTCCAGCACAGAGAGGAGGCAAAGGTCCTGATCAGGGAGGAGAACAGAGTCCAGAAATCTCAGAAAGCAGGCTCCATGTTTTTAACATTACACCAAACAGCAGAGGGAGCTCTGTGAAGTTGGAAACACTTTCTTACCTCATTCTAAAAGTTCAAGAAAACTACTTTCATATAAAAGTGAGCAACAAAAGAGGACTTAGGTTGAATCATCACAGTTTTTATAACACTAATTTTTATTTTTTATTTTTTTTAAGATTTTATTTATTTATTTGACAGAGAGAGACACAGCAAGAGAGGGAACACAAACAGGGGGAGTGGGGGAGGGAGAAACAGGCTCCCCGCTGAGCAGGGAGCCCAATGTGGGGCTCGATCCCAGGACCCTGGGATCATGACCTGAGCCAAAGGTAGACGCTTAACGACTGAGCCACCCAGGCGCCCCTAACACTAATTTTTAAAAAGAGTTAAGGAACAGAATAATATTGGGGCGCCTGGGAGGCTCAGTCGTAAAGCGTCGGCTCAATGGGTTTATACAAATGGACATATACATGTAACCACTGTCTGTCTCAAGAATTGGAACATTACCAGCATCTTTGTAGGTTCCCATGTGCCCCTTCCTTATCAATAAACCCTTCCCCAAAGATAACACAATTTTGACTTCTATCGTTTTAAATTAGTTTTGCCTGGTTTTGAAGGTTGTACAAATGAAACTTCAACCTACTCTTGTGTGCCTGGCTTTTTTTTCACTCAATATTGTTTATGAGGTTCACCAGGCTGTTGTGGGAGGCACGATCCAGTCTTTATCAATATATTAAAGAAGTTGTATGAGTTTACCACAGCTTATCTGTTCTACTGCTGATGGGTATGGAGCGGCTTCCACTTTGGTACTATTATAAAAGAAGTTACTCTGGACATTCTTTTCCTTGTTTCTTTCACTCACTTCTGTTGGGTGTAAGCCTAGGAGTGGAACCACTGGGTCATAGAGAATGCATATGTTCAGCCTCAGCAGATACTATCCAACAGTTTTCCAAAGTGGTTTTTATCAATTTATACTCTTACTAGCAAAGAATGAGAATTCCAGTTGCTCCTCCAAATCTTGGTATAAATAAAAAATTTGGCATTGTCAGGGGTTTTTTAGTACCCATTCTGATAGGTGTATATTGGTTAACTTGCATTCCCCTAATGACTAATAAAACTGAGTACCCTTTCATTTGCTTATTGACCACTGGATATCCTCTTTTCTGATGTACTTGATTGAGTCACGAGCGCGTGCGTGCGTGTGTGTGTGTGTGTGTGTGTGTTAGACTTTTCCTTATTGATGTATAGGTGTTCTTTAATTACATAAAGCCAGGGCGCCTGGATGGCTCAGTCTTTAAGTGACTGCCTTTGGATCGGGTCCGGGATCAGGCTCCCCACTCAGCGGGGAGTCCGCTTCTCCCTCTGCCCCTCCCTTCTGCTCATGCTCTCTCTCTCACACACAAAAATAAATAAGTAAAATCTTTTAAAAAATAGTAATTACAGGGGCGCCTGGGTGGTTCAGTCGTTAGGCGTCTGCCTTCGGCTCAGGTCATGATCCCAGAGTCCTGGGATCAAGCCCCGCATCGGGCTCCCTGCTCGTGTTCCCTCTCTCGCTGTGTCTGTCTCTGTCAAATAAATAAATAAAATCTTTCAAAAAAAATAATAATTACATAAAGCCCTTCGTCAGATGCATTTTTACAAGTATCTTCTCCTCTGAGGCTTGCCTTTTTACTCTCTTATGGTATCTTTTGATTAATATAAGTTCTTAACTATAATTAAGTCCAATTTGTCAATATATTCATTTATGGTTAGAGATTTTTGTATCTTGTTAAGAAATACTGTTTCTACTTTAAGGTCTTAAACATCTTCCTCTATGTTCTCCAAGTTTTATTGTTTT